ATATATATATACTTAAGTTTTGTGGATGTCGAGGGTGAATGAAGACTAAACTCATTTTCCCTTGACAAATAAATTTACGATTGATTTAAATATTGTAACCTGCCCGAATTTTTGTTGTTTTAAAGTTTATTTGCTTGTTGAAGATGATGCATATTTGTATCTCTGATATGCACAGTTGATTCTTTTTAAACGTATTTGGTGTGGTCAATTCAATATAATCAGTAGGTTTCAATAATTCGCATGAGTTTCAGTGGCTCAGTGGTTTTTTCCAAATGATCAGAAAACCAATCATCGATTAAACCAAATATAACAAAACAATTATTTAATAACAGAAGAAGAATAAAACTTTTTCCGTTCATATAGTAATAGTTTATTGCAAATTCAAGTTTTCAAAATTATAGCTCTTGCAGCCCCACAGTGTGTAAAAATAACAAAATTGAAAAATAAATTTTCGAAAAAGTGGTTTCTATGCCATGCTTCAAAGTATCATGATAAATTTACAAAATTTTATTACATACTATCAAACCATGTAGTATAATTAATTTTATCAAAATCATTACAAATTGCTTCGGTAATGATTACCGAGCTTTTCAGCTTTCCCATAGAGTCAGAAATACGGTTGGTTTTACTATATTCTGGTAGTTTTGGCTATACTTTTTTTTATCTCAGTGTGGTAAAAGTTATATTAAATATGATTTGTTGTTCGGCGTTCTCTTGTAGTAAAACTTGCTTAATGTCATGTAAGGATTCCAAGTTTGCAATGATGGATTTGTTACTACGTTAATGGTGTGGAACTACTTTCAACTTTAAGTAAAGGAGAAATATTGGGTGAAAGCCAATCCATGACAGAAGAGCATAAGTGTTAAGTGCAATGCTTCATACCTCTCAAGCTCACCCGTGAAACATTTATCTTAAGAGCATTTGAGCTAAATGTTGTGCTAACAGCAGATTGAAAATAAATAATACATTTTCAAAATTAATATATTCTCGAAACAAAATGTGTCTAATTATATATAGAATATACGTTTTATATATCTTCCATAGTTGCAACTTTATAATTTGCCTGCGAAAAAAGTCTTTGTGTTTTTTTTTAAATGACTGTGCACTATTTTTCACAAATTTATATAATTTTAATTCACGAATGTTGATTTGATTAAATGAAAATTTAGTATCACAATTATAAGTTTTAAAAACAAATATAAACTTTAAATATTATTTGGAATTTTTTCTACATAGCAGCAAAACACATAAAAACGTCTAATTTTGCTTTGCGGAAGCAGGGATGCTTCTCATAAAAATGTTCTTAAGAACAATACTTATTGTTTGTAAGCATCGAATTGCGCTCTGACTCAAGTACATAACAAATTAGAACAAAAATATCGATTTATAGTCCTTAATCTTAATCAATGTGCCATATAAATTACAAAAGTTTTTCAGAAGTCTTTCTAATTTTTGGATTTTAGAAAAAAAATGCAAAATGTAAAATCATCTATCCCTTTTCGAAGAAGATATTGTCATTTTCTGAACCTTAGTTGTATTGGCATATTTTTTATCACATTTATTACTCATTTTGAGAGATGTATAAAGTATACATATGATGTTAAATAAGTATAAGGGAAGACGACAGTCTAAAATGAGATTAAATAGTTTTCTTCCATCTTTTCACCATTGAGAAACCCAAACTTTTGATAGCTTTGCTGACTAAACTATACGAATAATATTATTCAGATTGCAGTTGTGGTATTCAACTTTATAAAAAAAAAATTGTATACTTATTCGAACGAAGAATGTTTTTGTCGGACAACGTAACTTACATCATCGCCTGCATGAATCAATTAGCATATTTAAAGTGGGACAAAAATTAATAAAAACATAAAATTAAAATTGCTTATTAGATAGTGAAAATCCTTTCGTTAAACGAAAGGTTATTTACATTTTTCTTCAGTTTATAAATTTTATGCAGTTTGAATTCAAGGAAAATTAATAATTATTGAAAATTAAGTTGAAGAATTTATTATTCTAAATATACCTTAATTTGTTCAATTTAATCAACAAATAGTTGAAAAAGTAATTTAGGAATCATCGCCATTTATAGAATCATTCTATTTTTCATTTCAAAATACTATTTGTAAGCAAAATAAAACTTATCAATACATTTTTCAGTAGGAAGTTATTTTAAAATAATAAATTCAAAGTTTAAAAATTAAAAATTTGGTATAATTGCTAATAATAGATCCTTGGTCACTTTAAAATATCAATTTTGAATAAAATAAGACAAATGGAGGCATTTTTTTTGGTTTAAAGATATTCTAAAATAATTAATTGTAAGTTTAAATGCAATTGAAATTTTAAATGTAAAATGCAATTTTAAAAGCTAACTCTAGCATATTTACTCGGAAAATATAAATAAAGATTTCTCCTCTAGGACACATCATCCATTTATTAGGAAACATTATCATTAACTGCAATCTATATATTTTCGTGGACATATTTTAAAACTCTATAGCGGTTTTAGAGTAAGATATTTCCCTTATCTATAATGCCCTTATCCATTTATTTATAAAATAAGTAATTAAACCATCTAATGTTACATTTATAGTAACCATTTTAATTCACAAATTTGGAAGAAAATCTTGTTTATCTTATATATATATAAGAAATTAAAGTTCTATTTCAAGTTTATTATGTCTAAAATAGCAAACTAGTTCCGTTTTGTCTTTATATTGAAATTTCAGGTATATAAAGCTACATATATGACTATGGTATGTCTACGTATATGCTTACGTAAATCGATCACTATACTTATGGTTTTAATACTAGCCTTATTTAACATTGTTAGCTTTACATAAAAGTGTTACATGACCATTTAAATCTTAACTGTTTCTCCAAAAGCATACATCACATTTAATTTAAATTTAAAAATACGCTCCAAAAATAGTATTTGTTTTTCAGTTATCTAAATAAATTTAAATCTGAATGCATAATGCTGTGGTAGCACATTATCTAAACATGCTCAATTTAAAGTTTTAATTGAAATCCTATAAATATAACTCTGTTAATAATCTTGTCTGTATTCTCTTAATTTACGGTTCATCATTGTGGTGGTCGTTTAAGTATTTCAAATCAAATTGTTACCATACATTTTTTCACTGCTTATGTCGGGAATATTATAAGAAAATTAAAATCTGATTAATGAAAAAAAAAACTTTAAAAAAATACTTCACCGATTTGAGTAATGTAAAAAAATATAGAAGCAATGAGTCCGTATTTTCCTCTTAATTACCTCATAATACAAGTCAAAGAATCAAAAATAGATTAAATCTACTCTTATTCTCATTTTATATTAATCAAATAGTGATTTGATTAAAACTTTTGAAATTTACTTTCAGAATAGATTGGACTTGATAAGTAAAATTTTTGTATTCCAAATATTTTGTCCTTTTACGTGTAACATATATAGACAAGTATTCAAACATGAATATGTATAAAATAAAATTTTTACTATGATAAAGTTATAGTTTAGGCTAGTGGACAATGTTTCAAAATATTTAATAAAATTTTAATGAAATATGTACTAATATTATAACAAAATGAACTAAATAAACGGTTGAATTGTGTTGTGAAAGAACATATTAAGTCGTTTTTAAACATTTAACGTGTTATTGCCGTTTATAAATAAAAACCTTTTCTTAATTTTTTAAAAAAAATTTCAAAAAAATCTAAAATCGAAGTATTTTTAATGAAAAAAAAACATGTTTTTGTAAACAAATTTCTTATTTTTTTCCCTCAAAATTACGAAATTATTAATAACATTTTCTACTACTTATACTATTTCGACACTTTATAAAGTTTCCTTTTACTGCATGAATTAATAGCAATACATAATAAATGAATTTTCTCGAATTACATTTCACGTAAAAAGAAAACTAAAATAAATTTTTCTATAACAAAAATATACTCTTAATACTTTTTATGTCACATTACGAATGAAAAATAAAAATTTTAAAATTGTTTACCTCCAAATGGTTTCATTTGATCAATTGGCCCCTTCTCTGAAGACATTATCTCTTCTTCTTCAGGTTCTGGAGAAACCTGAGTGGGCATACAGTTTCAAAACAGAAATTTTACACCAAAACTCTTGAATTTATACAGAATCCCCCGAATAACTAAAGCTTCACTTAAGAAGCCCTCACAGTTGATATGACGCTGTCCATATGCCAATACCAATTTTCATTGATGTATTTTCCTTAAATTGTCATTTTTAATGCCTTCTTGGTAGTTAGAATATAATTCAAAGAGTATTTGGGATGATTGGCGAGAAAAATTGGGATTGTTTGGGGAGAAAATAAAATATCACTGGCCATCGATTAGAAAGCCAGCTTGAAGTGCGGATTCGGGAATGGGATTCTTTCTGCAAGCACGCCGCCATTCACGGGGCTCAGCTCGGGTTGCTAGGAAACGCACCAAAGCGCCAAAATTCGCCGTGACGGAGTGGTTTCTGGCGTGGAGTTAAAATGATGCGAATACAAAAAAGATAGAGAAACTATAAGAAAGCTAACCGTATCCTCGATCAATGCCACTTGTTGAAATAATTGTTATATAAAACCTATATAGTAGGAAAAAGAACTCATCTTTATGTTACTATTGAATGGACACACGTTAGGAATCATATCAATTAGATATTGGACACACTTGAGTCTAATTTTAGGAAAACAAAGTGATTGAACAGAATAATGATGTTGTAGATGCAAAAGAAATTAATTGCATTAATACTTTTTGTATTCTTTAGAAACCATATATATTAGTTATTTGAATAATTTTTGTTTCATTATATGAAAATAAAGTGATTGAATGATACTTCAGCAGAAGTCCGAAGATGATTTTTATCATATTCAGGCATGATTTTCGCATTGTAAACTTTCCTGCGTGTATTTGTTGCTTCTTATTTATATTAGAAAATATATTACTGTTGAAACACATTATACTGAGTGATAACTGCAAATGCACATTGCAAATACACAAAATTCTAGGAATTCAAAACAATCATTCAAATCCATATAACAGCTTTTTTTTAAAAAAAATTACATCTTTTCAGTACATACTAAGTCATTAAAATAAATTTGAATTCAAATAAATGGCATTTAATTCGTTAAACCTATTAGAAATGTGCTATAGTATAAAATCTTAAAGCGTAACAGCACGACTGAGACTCATTTTTCAATGAATAGCTAATAACAATATAACAAATAAATTCGTGATATAAATCAAAAATCGTCAAATAAATTCGTAATATATAAATTCGTGAAAAAAAGCTCTTTCGACAAAATGCTAAAATAGAGATCTATCGACAAAGACTACTCACTTCTGCCTAGCTTAATAGTATGAGATTGCGGCAGCTGATAGGGTGAATTTCGGAAGAGATCACATTTGGTGAGAATGCTCTCTCTGGTTATTTCAGTTTCCGTTTTTAAAAGCGCTATATGTTGAGCCACCTCAGCTAGATTTGGCA